GGCATGCAGCCGTCGGCCACAGTTGACCGCGCGAGGCCGCGCGGCCCTCGCTGGCGCGCGGCCCCAGCGCTCGGCGGCTCCCAGGCCCAGCCGGCCCCGGACGCAGGCGTGACCAGCGCGGCAATGCGGCCCGCCGCTTCTTCCTGCTCGTCGGCACAAGCGGCTGCCTCGTGGGCCGGCGCATCCGACGCGGCACGCCGCGGCGCGGTCGTTCCCGCCGCGTTTTCGCGTCGTCGCTCTGTCAGCGTTCGGCGCGGCAACGGCTGAGAGGCGAGCTGCGCGCGCGCGCCGCGGGCCGCTTCGCGATGGGCGGAGTTGCGCCAGAGACCCATCGCGCTTTTCTTTCGCGCGTAGATGGGGCGGGCGCGCGGGGCGCCGCCTGGCGCGACTCGGTCGCATCGGCGCTGGCGGCCGAGAGCATCTCCATGCCCCCCGAGCTGGCCGGGGCCAACTTTGAAGGCTTTCGGAAGCTTCCAGAATGCTGACCTGGGTGGAGGCGAAAAGCGCTGCGCCCGCTCGGCCACCAAGCTTGCTGGGCGCGAGGTCGACGCGCCCGCGCAGCGCGAATCGCGCGCCCCCCCGCTCGCGCGCAGGGAGAGGGCAAGGAGCAGCTGGCCGCCGCAGGGTCGGCCAGCGGGGACGCCAGCGCCGCCCTCCTCGCGCTTCTTTAAAAAAAGACGAGACTTGCGACGCGCTAGAGCGCGCCCGCCGCCGCGCGTCGTCGCGCGCGTCGCGTCGCAGGCTCCCGCGGCAGCCTGCGCGGACATCTGCGCTTCGCTCAAGACGGCGGACCGCGAAGGTTGGCCCGGCGACCTCCTGTCCGGGCGCTGCTCGGCTTGTCGCGGCGGCGCGCGCGCGACTTTGCGCGCGGCGCTCGACGCGTAACTCGCTCCAAACGTGTTGGCGAGCTCGCCGGCAAAGTGGCAGAACTTCGGAAGCGCGGGATCCATCAAGGCCCCGCCTGCGTGAAGCTGCCCACGCAGTTGCCGCGGCACCTCGCCGGGGCGCTCCGCAGTGCCGACGAAGACGAGGCAAGACTTTCTGAAGACTTCAAAAGCTAGGCACAGGCGAGGTTGTCCCCCGTCGCTCGCGCCCGCGCCGCGCCTCTCGTCGCGCGAGGCCGCGGGGGCGAAGGCGACGCCCAGGCGCGCCCTGCCAATGCTCGGCTAGTGGGACCTCGCGCGGGCCAGCTGGTCTACGCCGCAGCCGCGCGGCCCGCCGCGACGTCTGCGCGGCGGCGGGCCCCGGGGCCCTCCGCCGCGAGCGGCGGGCGCAGCTCGCGGTCTATTGCGACGAGCAGGCCCGCAAGGATGTGGCGGAGCGTTCGCGCGCTGGCGCTTCGTCTTTCGAAGCTCGCGCTTTCGTGCTCGCGAGCTTTCGCGCGACCGATGGCCTCGTCGGTCGCGCGCAAGCGAGGCGCGCGGAGAAACGCGTGGACGCCGCCGTCCTGGGTCGCGCCGAGGAGGCCTGCGATGCAGACGAGGCCGCGGACCGATGCTGCGCCGCGTCGACGACCTCTTTGGCGCCGAGCGCGCGGCCTGCGCCGAGCGCGCGCGCGCGGGTGCATCGCGCGGCTCGCCGCGGGCATGCCGGAGTTGTCCTGGGCCTTCAGGCGCGCGCAGACCACGTCGGCTTCTCGTGCACCCCCTCGCCCGACAAGGTCAAAAAGTGGCGCGGTCGAATTGGCGGCGCGCTCTCCGTGGGCGCATTGCGGCCAGGGGGCGCGACAAAGCTGGCGGGCGCACTGATGCGGGCATGCTCGGGCATGTTCCCTCGCATCGGGCGCGCGCGCATCCGGCCCTTGTTCGCCTACTCGAAGCAGCGTGGCTCGGCGGCGCCGCAGCAGCTGCGCGTCGCGCTCGAATGGCGGTCCGAAATCCTCGCTCTGGAACTCTGTGAGGCCCGTGCCTGGGCACCAGACAGGCGCGAGGCAGCGCAGCTCTGTGTCGACGCGCGCAGCGCGCCGCTCCCCGTCGAGGCCACGCTGTTCCTCGACGGGCAGGCTGCCCACTCAGATTGGGCCCCCCCAGGCGCAACTTGCGCAATTTCAAAAAGAGGGGCGATGCGCAAATTCTGCCCCTCGAGCTCCTAGCGATTGTGTTCGGCCTTTCCACGTTCAGCGGCGCGCTCGCGGGCAGGCGCGCGCGATGCCGCCGCGCGGAAGGGCGCCTCCAAGGAGTGGGGCTACACGCGCCTCATCTACTCGCTGCGGCTGCAGGCGGCGTTGCGCGTCTCGCTTCGCGACGACCGCGCCCATTCAATAGAGCGTTGCTGATTTGCCGTCGCGGGACCAACGCTGGCTCCTGCGCGAGATCGGTGGTTCTTTCGTCCAGCCGCGTCTGAGCGAAGCATTATGGAAGCCCGCTGCCTGGGCGTCCACATCGGCAGCGCAGGCGCCGCTGCGCCGCGCGTGAGCAGCTGTCGGCCGACAGCTCGGCTCGCTCGCTGGGTCGTCTTGCGGTCTTGCGTCGGGGCTGGGCGGGGCCTGGGCGCGAGTGCATGATTGCACAATTATGAGTTTCCGCTGTGCGTCTGCGAGGTCGCTCCACGTGCGCTCCGAGTCTTGGCTGGGCGCACGTGATCGCTCCTCCTCCTCCTCTTCATCCTCCTCCTCCTCCTCTCCTCCCTCTCCTCCCTCTCCCCCACGTCCACCTCATCCTCTCACCCTCGTCCTCCCTGTGCTCGCCGCCCTTGTCATCCTGCACCTAATATGTTCGAGGTCCTTCCTCTCCCCCGAAAGGCCGGGGCTGTGGGATGTAATTCCAACCGTCCTGCGTTGGGCCTTCGTTTTGAATAACGCACTGTGGTCGCTCGGCCAGGACTCGGCGGCACAGGTTCCGCCTGGCGGGCGCCGCCCGTCGGATCGGCAATGGCCGGGCGCGCCGATTCCATGCGAGACTTCCTGGCCAAAGCCGCCGGCAAAGGCAGGCGCGAAGCTGCGCGGTTCGACGCCATCGCGGCGGCGCTCGCCGCCGAAGGCACGTCGAGCCCATCCGCGCTCGCTGGGGCCAGATTCAAAGATTTCCAGTTCCAGGGCGCTCGCTGGGGCCAGATTCAAAGATTTCCATTTCCAGTTCTAGTTTGACTGGTGTGGAAATGAGACTCATCTGTTCTGTTCTTTGAAATGTTCGAAATATGTTCGTGGGTTTCTTTCTGAGATGTTCAAAATATGTTCGTTTCACGGGTGTTCCGTAGACGCCCGTAGACCGAAAATGTGTTGAACAGATTTCGAACATCTACGATTATTGTGTATATAAAAACTAAAAGCTGATATACAATGATCATGGTGTGTCATGTGGTTTCTATATGGTCAACATATGTTGAGCATTGTTTTGCGAAAGTGTGTGGCGTACCCACTGCTTCGATATAGTATTCGAAGGTGTCGTCGTTCGTCGTTCGTCGTTCGTCGTTAGTCGTCGTCGCTCGTCGTGTTCGTCGTTCGTCGTTCGTCTTTGCTCTCGTCGTTCGTCGTTCGTCGTTCGTCTGTCGTCGTCGTCGTCGTCGTCGTCGTCGTTAGTCGTTCGTCGTGTGCGTCGTTCGTCGTCCGTCGTCGTCCGTCTCCGTCGTCCGTCGTCCGTCGTCGTCGTCGTCGGAGGGAGGGAGCTGGATGGTTTCGAGACGAATGATTCTAGAGTGATTCGCCGCGCCGCCGACCCCTTGGGGGTCTCCTGGGGGGCCTTTCAGGGGCCTCGTGGGGGCCTCCTGGATGCGCGGGCCTCCTGGGACCCAAACCACTGACGACGACGACGACGACGACGACGACGACAACGGCGACGACGACGACGACTCTGGCTGCGGCTCCAGCTCCAGCTCCGACGACTCCGACTCCGACGACTCCGAGAACTCCGACAACTCCGGCGACTCCGACTCCGACGACGACGATGACGACGACGACGACTCCGACTCATACGACGAAGGCGACGGCAACGACTCCGACGACGATGACTCCATCGATTCACGACGACGACGACAACGACGACGACGAGGACGACGAACACGACGACTCCGCCTCTCCCTCCTCCGCCTCCTCCTCCCCTTCCACCGACGACAAAGGCGACGACGACGACGACGACGACGACGACGACGACAACGACGACTCCGCCTTCGACTCCGACGACGACGACGACGACGACGACGACTCAGACGATTCCGACGACTCCCAACCCGACGACGACTCCGACTCCGACACCGACGACGACGGCTCTGACTCCAATTCCGATTCCGACAATTCCGACAACTCCGACGACTCCGACTCCGACGACTCCGACGACTCCGACGACTCCGACGACTTCGACTCCACCTCCAACTCCGACGACGGAAACTCCGACGCCTTCGACTCCGACGACTCCGACGACTCCGACTCCGACTCCGATTCCGAATGTAAAACTTGGAGTTCTACACTCAGCTTCTCGGCAGAACTTGAAGCTCTGCCGAGGAGCCGAAGGTAGAACTTCAAGTTCTGCCGAGGAGCCGAAGGTATTATAACTGCAAGTTCTACCTTCGGCTCCTCTGCTGCTGCTGCTGCTGCTGCTGCTGCTGCTGCTGACGACGACGACGACGACGACGACGACGACGACGACGACGACGACGACGACGACGAAGACGACGACGACGACGACGACGACGACTCCGTCTCCGACGAATCCAGCCGTGGCGATGAGGGCCTCCCGGGAAGCCCCAAAGAAGGCGAAGAACGAGGGAAGGGCAACGGTATGCGTACCCTGACATCCCATCCTCCAGCAGGATTTGTTCAATCCGCGGCCCCAGAGGTCCCGATCCCTTCCCATGGGGGTAGTTTTGCGCCCGGATCCGTTCAGGCCCAATAGCAAGCACTGGAGGCCGAAATCAAGGAAATTCGCCCGGATTGAAAACTCGTATCGTCGGAGATCTGGGTACCCCTGTGCCTCTCTCTGAGTGTCGGTAGGCGCCGAGCGGGAGGGGGGCACAGCGCGGCAACTACATTGTGGGCACCGCTGTCTCGAACCCGCCCTCCCCACCGCTCCTCGGTGGGCCTTGGGCCCTCCGCCTGCAGGCGGCGGGCGCTCGCCAGCTCGTGGTGGCTGACGCTGACGCTCGCCCTCGCTGCCGCGTCGGCGGGGAGATCGCACGCGCGCGCGCCGCAGTGGCACGTGAGGCGCACCTCTCGGGGAGCCCAGCAGCAAGGAGGCTTCAGACGACGGCGACGGCGACGGCGACGGCGAAGGCGACGACGAAGGACGACGGACGACGGACGACGGGCGACGGACGACGGACGACAGACGACGGACGACGACGACGAGACGACGACGACGACGACGACGACGGGCGCCCGCCGCAATGGCACGTGAGGCGCACCTCTCTGCGAGCCCGGCAGCGGGGAGGCATAGACTCGCGTGCGCGGGACACTGAGACCTCGGCGTCTCAAGTTCTCGAGCGGCCAGCCTCAGGCCCCAGGACCAGCATAATTACGTCGATCCGCTCCGAAAAATGGCACAGAAAGATGGGGTCCAGGGCTCTGGTCGCGAGATGTTGCGATCGTTTCGAGACGTCGGATCTCAGGGGACGTCGTCGGTTGTCGTCGCGCGTAGTCGCCGTCGTTGGTAGTTGTCGGACGACGCCGTCGTCTGGCGTCGCCGGACCGCCCTCTCCACCTGGCCTTTCGCCCCCCGCTGCTGCTATCGGCTGAGAGCCCCAGATGACGCTCCCTCGTGGCGGTACTCTGCATCTGGCGGCATGCAGGAAGAGGATCGGGGAGACGTAAGACTCGAGTTCGGGGAACTCGGGTTGGCCTGATGGGGCCGTAAGGGAAATGACGAGGCCCAGTCTGAAATTTGACACGGGCTCCCGCTGCAAATATCCCCATGACACCTGGACCGTCACAACTCAGGACGGGCCCGTCAAAAGGTGTCGGCGAACCCGACTTCCAGCGAACTCGTGTCTTACGCGTCCCGACCAGAAGCCGGGACAGTGCAAACCAGGACTTTGAAAGCTCATTCGGGAGAGCACTGAGCTTGGAACAAAGACGTCTCGACCTCCCCCTGCGGGGCGGATCTCTCCGAGAACATCGGCCAGGGTGCAGGACTCGAGGGACGTGCGAAGCCTGGTGATACCCCCGACGCCCCCGCGTCGATTTGACCCGCAGAGGCATAGGGCTCGCAAGTGGCCGCAGAACAGAACGTGGGGTGAATGATAGAGTCTCGTCAAAGCTCCGACGCGCAGCTTGACAGGAGAATCGGCAGCAGGACAATACGTAGATGCACGTTTCTGCAAGTTGCATCGCTTGACCTGGTTCGCGTATTGCTGCGGAGTTGACTCATACTTGCTGAAGCGATGGGGAAAAACAAGAAAACGTGGGATGAAGGAAGGCGCACCGTTCGTGCACCTTTTGGGCCCACGGGGCGCATAGTTTAGGGGCCACATCGGGGCCCCTCTGGGGCCACTTGCCTGCAGTCCTCGATCCCCCCAAGATGCTTTACCCCCCCGCTGCCGCCCGCCCGAACCTCGCACTCGTCCGCGCCGGTGCCGGCGCGCAGGGGAGGCAGCTCCAGGAGCGGCTCCAGGGCGACCTCCCCGAACAGCCAGTGCTCCTAGAGAGCAAAAAAAAAGCGGCCTCGTGAGAAGCAGCCCAACCAGCGAAGCCGTTTAGCACACAAGCACCCAAAGATGGAATCGAAAATTGGGCAGGGCTGTTTATAGTGCACGACCAGGGCCACTCAGCAAACGCGAAGTCACGACTAGGGACATTCAGCAAACGCCAAATATGGGGGTCGGGTGGGTTGTCCTCCCTTGAGCTCCAGCGCCAGCGTCCGCTGCGGCCACGCGTCGGGCGCGTCCGCCCACTCGGCGGCCGAGAGGCCCAACGTCGAATTGACGACGTCCTCCACGAAGAGCTTCAGGTCGTCCTCGCCCTGCAGGGCCGCGTCCGAGCCGGAGAGCCTGGTGCGGACCGTCACTCTCGAGCACGCACCATCGCCCTCCCGATGGCACGTGCACTCCGCTCCGGTCGTGTCCTTTGGCCGCCCGAGGTCGCTGCTCAAGGTGTTGCACCAGAAGAGGCCGCACTCGCTGTCCACGTGCGGCTCGCAGAACTTTGTCTCCTGGGGCCCCTGCTCGACCGACGGCTGCACTGCTGCGAAGACCTCCTCCACGGCGCGGCGAGCCGCCCTCGGATGATCCGGGGAGAAGACCTCGGGCAGCCCTGCCCCGCCGTCAGACACTGCTGTGACGCCCACGGTGATGCAGAACATGATGAACACGGCAACGGCCGCGCCCACCAGCAGCCACTTCCCCCTGACGGCGGCCACCTGTACGCACCCCGCCGCGGCCCGCTCCCACGGGACGGCGGCGCAGGCCTGCGGCTCGAGGGCAGCCTTCAGCCACCCCGGCAGCCCGCTCCGCTCCAGGCGGGGCGCCAGGGACCGCTCCCGGAGCACCAGCAGGGGGACGAAGATGGCGAGGCAGAGGGCGCAGCTGCAGACCTGGACATCCGACGCCGTCGTAATAGCAGCACATGTTAGCCAGCGTGGGCCCCAAGCAATGAGTGCTTGCACTGTGGAGGGGGAAACTCTGCAGTGTGAGCCACGTGAGCTGTGGGGGTGAAGCTGGGCGCTGCAATACGTGTGGTGTAAGATACGCTTTGTGAGACGTGTGGTGTGAGTTGGAAGTGAAAGCTATGCGGTGTCAGCTGCGTGAGTGGTGTCAGCTATGTCGTGCAAGCTACGTGGTGCAAGCTATGTGGTGTCAGCCATGTCGTGCAAGCTACGTGGTGCAAGCCATGTGGTGTAAGCTCAGCGCATGGGGGGCGCCCACGAGTGCCACCAGGCGGGCAGGAAGCGGCAACGTGGCGCAACCTCAGCGGACCCACTCAGCACACAGGGCGCCCATGAGCGCCAAGGAGGCGGCATGGGCGGCAACGTGGCGCAACCTCGGCGGACCCACCCAGCGAACGGGGCGCCCACGAGCGCCCACGAGGCGGCACGAGGCGACAATGTGAGAAAAAGCCGACTGCCCCGTCCAATTGCTTAAGAAAGAAAAGTGAGAACCACCAAGTGCAAGCACCGCTTGAAGAAAATATGACACCAGAGAAAAACCCCAATCAGGGGATGGTTTAGTGGTGATTTCTGGGATCGATCGAGTGAGATGGATAATGAGATCGATCATGAGATCGATCTTGAGCTCGACCGTGGGATCCCGAAATTGGCCCAGAACCAATAATGGGGGACCCGGGAACCCAGCCGGCTACCGAAATCGGCCCGGGTCTCTCAACAAATATTTCAATATCCGCTAGGACGCTAGGACCCGTTCAGTGCAAGCACTGATTGGGGAACAAGAGTGCCACTTCAAGAGAGACTGCCCAGGAGCGCTGGACCACATCTCTGCGCGGCGCCCGATTAATCCGTGAGGCTCCCAAGATACCGTGGTTGTTCTGTCCACGATCGGCGTCGGCCGTGGCATCGGCATCGGCGTCGGCCGTGGCATCGGCATCGGCGTCGGCGATGTCGTCGGCGTCGGCGTCGTCGTTGCCGTCGCCGTTCTTGTCGGCGACGACGTCGTCCTCTCGTCGTCGTCGTCGTCTGCGACGGCGCCGTCGTCATCGGCGTCGTCGTCGGTGTCGTCGCCTGGAGCCGCCGTCGTCATTCGAGGCCCGACTCGGAGGCGCCCATAGGGTCTGAGCTGGATGGGCCAGAAGAAAATCGGCCAAGACGGGAGGGCAAGGGCAAATCCGTTCAACATCGGTCCCTGGCGTCCATCTGGTGCAGGTTTTCATCCCGAGCCCATTTTCTATGGCGATCCTGGAGCCCGAACAAAAACAAAAAACCTTCCCCAACCCAGACCCTCGAACCTGCTCCCCCTTCCTGCTGGTCGGAACCACTACTGGGCCACCTCAGACCTCCAACCGGCTCCAAGGCCCAACCGTGCAGGAACGTCGTCGTCGTCGTGTTCGTCTTCGGCGTCGTCGTCTTCGTCTGCGTCTTCGTCGTCGTCGTCGTCGTCGTCGCGGTCGTCGTCGCGGTCACCGTCGTCGCGGTCACCGTCGTCGTCGTCGTCGTCGTCGTCGTCGTCGTCGTCGTCGTCGTCTGGCGGCGCCGTCGTCTGTCGAGGCCCGACCGCGCACACCCCAGCGAACAGGCCCATCTCTCGCAGGGGCCGCAGCAGGGACGCGAGCAGCACCAGGAAGCAGCCGCCGCTGGCCAGCGGCGGCAGCAGCCTCAGCAGCGCTGCGCGGTGCACGGCCAGCACCCGGTCCCCCACGCTGGCGTGGCACTCGCCCGCCGTGCGGTCCCACCTCGGGCCGCGCACCCAGAGCCCCGACGCCACTGGGACGCAGAAGGACATACTGCAGCGGGAAAGATTGAAGAGGCCCTGGGGCACACAAAAACAAATAGACACAAATAACAGGATTCCCCATCTTTTCTCATATTTTCTATGTTTTGTCTTCCCCCCACTTCCCATATTTTCCCATATTTTCTGGGGGATCGACGATTAATTGTGTCTGTGTGTTTTCCCCTCCTGAAAAAGATGATCAAGGCAGGTGTCATGTAAGGAGCCCGGACCTCTGCTGTTAACGCTGGAGGGGGCGAGCGTGCTCAAGAAACTGGGCCAGCTTTCGGCCAAGCTGGTCAAAATTCGCTGGCCCGGCTTTTCGGGGGGAAGTTTCTGAACCAAATGCTCGACTGCAGTACTCTGCACCCTCCTCGGAGGCGCCCGTCCGAAACGAACATGTAGCAAACGCATCGTATAATATTGATAGTCTCCTGGAAGGCATGGCCAGAAAGCATTCTATGTTTCCACGACGCCCAGGCACGCTCGCCCTGTGAAAAAGTCAGGGCGGGAATTGTTTGGCCGTGTTCGGCCTCCCGGGGCCCTCCCTGGCCTCGGCGCCGTCAAAAAACACATCGGACGAAACACTGGCCTGGGAAAAGAATCAGGACTTCTGGGAACCGCGTGCCGAAGAAGTGAAGGCGTCGCACGTCGAGGCTCCGACCCCCGACGTCATATTTCCTCACAACGTCGACCACCCGAGTTCTCGACCCACTCCCCAGCCCTGATCACTGGATATTGGAATAAATTGGTCGCGACCAACAACATTGGTCGCTACCGATTTTGCTTCAAATCAGACAATCGGTCGAGACCGATTTGCTTCAAAATCGGTCGCGACCGATTTGGAGTGTAGTTTGGTCGTTCCCGATCGCGACCGACATTGTATGGCATCCAATGGTTTGGGCCGGGAGGCCCGATTTATTCTCTTGGCTGGCTTTTCATCCTGGGTCGTTGTTTGACGGCTCTGGGGCCTGGCGGGGGCCTCCAAAACCAGAAAACAGCCACCCAGCGATCAGATCTGTTTCATTGTTTCAATACGGGGCCCCAGGCCCCCCCCCTCAGATCTGGGCGACGCAATGTTTTTCACAACGGGCGTGTTCGCTCGGGCTCGGGTCGCAGGACCCTCACACATCGACCCAGCTAGGAAAAACATGTCAGAAAGCTTGGGTCAGGGGTTCTGTTCTGGTCGTGCTTTGGCTTCTATGCCTGAATGATGTCGCGCCGTCGACTCTCAGGGGCGCACCCAGACCGCCGACGCCATATAGTTTCATAACGTCGACCCCCGGAGGTCTCGACCCCATTTTCTCGCCCCGAAGAGTGGGTACCAATTTTTTCGGTCGCAATCGGTAGCGATTGATTAGCGGAAGACCCTGGGACCCGAAGGTTGGAACACCGAACCCTGGAGGCTAGGGTTTCTTACCTCGGAGGTGGGAATATCAACCTCAGTAATTTACTGCCTCGGAAACTGCACGAAACGAAATCATACCAAACATAAGGGACCATAAGCAAACAACAGGCAACAAAAAATAACATATGGAAGCATAGAGACACGGGCAAACAACCAGCAACAGGGAGATTGGCACATTGAATTCTGGAGGTTAGGGCTTCCACTTTGGGAACCTTCCCATACAGAAGGGGGACATAAGGAAACAGATGCATGCAACGAGTGGCCGCAGGAAACACTTATAAGCACAAGGACAAAAGTTGGCAGATGGGAAGGTGATCGAGGAACATAGCGGAACCTGGGACACATACCATATATAGGATAATAATCAACTGCGGTTGCAGAAACATTCGGGCTCCACGTGTGCACGTTTCATTGAATGGCATTTGCGTGCACAGATATCCAAGACAACCTCGTGCAACCACACCGGGCGCTGCGCGCACGCCGAGCCGACGCGGGCCCAACAAGTGACCGAACTTCTGCGACGCCTGGCGCGCCTGAGCGGCGGCCCCTCCGCGCGCGAACCCACTTTGAAACTCTGCGACCCCGAATACAAGATTTCAGCGCGCTGGTGTCGACTAGGTGTCAACCATTCACAACCAGTGAGTCCCGATGGCGGCATCAAGCGGCGTCAAAATACCACGAAACCTTCGGCGCCGGGATCATCCGCGCGTCTCATTATGTCTCAAAACGCCGAGCCCAGCAACGCGTCTCTCAGGAGCTCACGTTGCTTCAAAGTGCCACGAAACCTTCAGCGCATCCGCGCGCGTCAAGTGGCGTCGAAGGGCCGCGCAAGCCTCGGCGCCGAGCGCGCCCGCGAATTCCACGAAGGGCTCAAGAATGCAACGAAACCCTCAGAGCGGGCATCTCTGACGGTTTGACATTGTTACGAAGCCTTCGACGCCGAGCGCATCCGCGCGACTCGCAATGTGCCAGGCGCCACGATACCCTCGTTGTTTCTATTTTCTTATTGTTTGAAATCATCAGTTTGCCTCAATGTTCCTTTGCATGAGGTTCCGACGGGGAAACCCTGCCATCCAGAGGGAAGCGTTCCAACCTCCCTTTTCATTTCTCTTCGTCGCCGTGGTAAGTCGCGAAGTGAGAAACCTGAACTCCCAGAGGTTAGCGTTCCAACCTCCAGATTCCAACCTCTTTCTTTATCTCTCGTTGTCGCTGTTACCCGTTGCGTCTCGTCGTCTCCTTCTGTTTGTCATTTTTCTCATGTTTGTATCAAGTGTCCGTGGCATGGGTAAAAGGGGGTTCCGAAGTGGGAAATCCTGACCTCTGGAGGTTGCGCAATGTTCCAACCTCCCTCTTTATCTCCGTTAGTCGCTATGTCTCCCCGTTTCTGGATGTGTCCCGTCGTTTTCTCCCGTGCGTCTCTATGTCCTGACGTTTGTCTCCAGCCCCTTGCGCGCGAAGAGGGAGGTTCCGAAGTGGGGAACCCTTCCATCCAGAGGCTGATGTTCCAATTTTCCTATTGGCCGTTGTTTCTCACTGTTTTGCGGCGTTTCCTTCTCTTTGTCCCCTTCCTCCCGCTTGTTTCTCTCGAGCGCCATTTGAGCCCCGGCCATCTCGGCAACGGGGCCCAATCTGCCGCGCCCCCCCCCGCGGCGCATGAGGGATTTCGGGCACCTCGGCAATCCGCCGTGGCGGGCGTCAACCAAGACAGGATACGTTTCTTTCTCTCTCTCTCTCTCTCTCTCTCTCTCTCTCTCTCTCAGTCTCTCTCTCTCTCTCTCTTTTCTCTCTCTCTCTCTCTCTCTCTCTCTCTCTCTCTCTCTCTCTCTCTCTCTCTCTCTCTCTCTCTCTCTCTCTCTCTCTCTCTCTCTCTGCTTGCGCCCCCCGATAGCCGAGGCCCGCGATGACACTGCAGACGCGCCCCTGGAGCAGGCGCGCGAGCTGCAAGCCGTGCGAGCACAATGATACGTTGCTGGCCAGCGGAAGGAAGCGACCGTCCTGGGGGGATTCTTGAGCTGTCCTGACTCTCTCTTGCGCGTCTCTTGGGGCGATATTGGGCGCCGTTGTGGGCGTCTCGAGCTCCGAAACTTCGTGACCGCGAATGCCCCCGAAGCAGTGGGCAAGCCAGAATTGTTCGAAGCAGGCTCGGCTTCTCCGCCCCAGGGCGCCGCCCGCACCTTTCGGAGGCGAGGCCGAGCCGGCCGAGAGCGGCGCGGAGGTCGGCACCCCGAGGAGGCGCGGGCGCCCCAAAGAACCCCGGCGGCGGGCTCGGCCGGCAGCCCGCCACCGCGCAATGTTGGCCCGAGCTGCGCCCGGCCAAGGCAGGGGGGCCTCGCGGACGACCCCAACCTGAAGGCCGCCATCTCCGACAGGAGGGCGCGCCTCCAGGAGCGCGCCTCGCCAGCGCCCGCCCGCGCGGCCCCCTGGGCCGAAGACGTCCGGGAGGCCGACGGAGCCCAGCGGGCGTCGAGCCATCGCCACGAGCAGTTTGCGTCGCAAGTTCGTCGGCTACGACGGCGCCTTCAGGCCGCCGAAGCCAGGGGTCAGGAGGCGGCCGTCGCCTTCGCCAGGCCGGAGGCGGACTGGAAGGCCGCCGCCGTCGGCCTCGCCGAGGCCGAGGGCACCTCGGAGGCCGACGCGGCCAGGGGGCACTCGGGCGGCCACGCCTCGCCCTTTGGCTCACGCATGAAGGCCAAGGTCTTCGAGAAGTTCGACGAGTGGGGGTGCGGCGAGTCTGGCAAGAAGCCCCTCAGCCCCTCGGGAAGCTGAAGAGCGAGATGCACGCGATCCAGCAGCAGTTCTCGGCGCGGGAGGAGGAGCCGCAGGCTTCCCCCGCGAGGGTCGAGACGGCGCAGCGCGAGGTCACGGACAGGATGGCCAAGAAGCGCAAGGGCGCGGGCGCCAGGGTCAGCGAGGGCGGGGGCGCCGCGACGGACAATGGCGAAGGGGCCCCAGCTCGAAGAGCCACATCGGCTACCAACGCCACAGCCACGGCAGCTCCCGCCCCTGAGCAGCCCACAGTCGAAGAGACCGCCTTAGCTCGCGAAGCCGAGCGCATCGCCAAGGCGAAGTTCGACGCGATTTCGAAGGCAGCGGCGGCCAAGGGGGCCGACCAGGGCACCAAGGCCACATCTGGCACTGGGAGTTCGGCGAGTTCGGCAGCGTCAGCTAGTCAGGCGACAAAGCCAGAATTACTGTATACTCTTGCATACACGAGAGAGGGCGCGAGACCTCAGATGCACGTCGCTCCAGCGGCGCACGGGCACTCCGCGGGGCCAGAAGGGCATATCAGCGAAAGGCATGGCCGGGATCTTGCCCAGCCAGATGGTGCATCACGAATTATGTCCCAGTCTGCTCCTGCCCGTGCATCGGAGGGGGCACCAACGCAGGTCCCCCCTGTCACTGCGATATCTTTGTTTCGGGAACGTATCGTGCGCGCATGGGTGACAAGGCGTGGAGCTACCTACAGCAGGTCAGCAGGATCCATGACTACCCCCGCAGGGGCGAGACCCACGCGAGCAAGAGGAACATGAGGAATTGGAGCGCCAAGGCGCGCGAGT